GTATGGGAAATTCACTCTAAAATCTTCCATAATGTAACAATTGTAATTATCTTAAAGTGCTACTAATTATTAAAATTAGCGTGAACACCATATTTTGTCCGGGCTTCTAGATGTAAATTAAAAATAAATAAAAAGCCCAATAATTTTGAGTAAATTAAAAAATAAATGAAATAAGAAAAAATAAGATTTTATAAAAAATTAAAATAAAATAATATCTTCATAACTTTAAAGAAATTTTTTTCCTTTTTCATGGCCCCCAAATCCCCTCATTTTTATTGCCATCAGATTGAAAATATGAAATAATGGAAAAAAAAAAGTCAAATGAGGATTTGATTTGATATGAATGATTATGTCATTAAGTGAAAAAAACCCTAATTGATGCCTATAAAAGGAGTAGCAAAGAGGCCACAGGGGGAAGGTGGATAGAAAAAGAATTGAGGAAAATTTGGAGTGAAAAAGTGTGGATGAAGAGACAGTGAAGCAAAGCATATAATAAGTCCCTAGGTATGTTATTATGATACACGTATAAATTTTTGTTCATTTGTGCCATCTGTGTTTTTTATCTCCAATGAATAACCACCACTTTTTCCTTCCTTCAACAAGAAATAATTATTCTCAAATGAAGGCTACAAAGTACAGTTTAGCATAGGAATTCATTGAGTGTGGAACTGACATAGGTTTCACATATTGTGTATGATTTGTTTCTTTGTTATTACAAACTAAAAATCTGAAAGTGTGGCCATTAAGATTGCTTGAATGATGAAGAAAAGCCATGGGGATTGCTGACATAGAAATCATTGAGATTGCTTTTCTTTGATCCTTTTGATGGCTATTATTATAAAATATCTTGATAAGAATGCCTGTGCATTTACATAGGTCAATAAGATGAGAATATAATTTTTTTTTAATTTCTTCCTATTTCATGGTATTGTCAACAATAAGAGGAGTAAAGCATGATTTTTAATTTAATTTATGATAACAATTTTATTAATTTTTTATGAGTGATACAAATCACTGTAAATTTTTAAAAATGTCAAATTTGATACCTTGAATAACATTGAGTCATCGCAGGTATAAATTTTATATTTAAAAGTTTAAAATTAAATTATTCTATAGAAAATTCACTTTGAAATTTTCTTTAAGGTTTGTTATGAGTAATATTAAATCATCATGTGCACATAGAATGTCAACCAGTGGATTGCGAGTGATACTAAATCACCGAAGGTTCCAATATTTGTTATTTTCCTTTTATCCAAAGGTACTTCCTTATGACAATTTTTTATTTAAAAATAAATATAATTATGTAACACAAAATAACCTTCTCTTCATAAAATAAATTAATAAATAATTAAAAGAAACCTAAATAATAATATTTTGAACTATATAGACTTTTATCCCCATCATAGGGTATGTAGGCCCTAGACTTTAATCCTAGGTCAAGTCCTTTCATATAAATAAATAGTTTATTTTCCTTTATTTTTTATCTTTATTTTTCATGTGGAATGAAGGATAACTAAGATATTATTAAAAGGCCAATTGATTTTACACAATCAACTTAGTATAACCATTCTTACGAATAGGTGTCGTGGGGTGCCTAATACCTTTCCCATGCACAACCAACTACCAAACCTTATTTTGGTTATTATAGACCATTTTATTTTTTAAAAGGTTTTCAAAATTATCTTTTTAAATTTTAGTGGTGACTTCTACATTTAATGATTTTCCTTTCCGGGGAGATCACGATTCGAGCACGACAATTAGGATTAATGCTTATTTTTGCCTTTAAACTATTTTCTTAGACACTTAGTAACCTGAACTCAACTTTGGTCCATTCTTATCCTCAGACATCGAATCATTTTTGCCCCTACTGTTACTGGGGTTAAAAATAAGGGAAAATGACAATAAAATCCATCTAAAATATATAAATGATAATTTAGTCTCTCAAAATGCCATAATTCCCCTGAAGTCTATAGGGACTTTTTTGTCATTAATAAATTTATATAAATTATTAAATTGTCCTTGTTGAAAATAAATGATTCACAAATTTTATTTAAATATTCATAACTTTTCTTCTTATATTCACAATAATACAACAACAAATAAAAAAAATAACTTGCGAAGTTGTGATTTGCTATTACATTGTTATGAATATAAGAAGAAAAGTTGTGAATAATTTATTTTTAATAAAAAAAATTTAGTAATTTATATAAATTCATTAGTGATAAAAAAGTCTCTAGTGACTTTAGGATAATTATTGCATTTTGAAGGATCAACTTTTCATTTATACATTTTATAGGGATTTTATTATCACTTTCCCTAAAAATAACTGTTAACTTTCATTTTGACCAACAAAAAAAATTTATAATTGGCACCACCTCAGCAGATGACTCATCATCTCTCGCACACTGAAAATTCAAAGCCCAGAGTTCTCTTAGTGCAAATGAACACCACATTACGAGACAAAGTTGTCAAAGGAACACCATCTTCAACCTTCCAGATCCTAGCTAAACCATCATTAGATATTGAATATAGTGGCCCGTTTGGTTCACAAAATGAGTGGGAATAGAATGTAATGTAATGGGTGGTGATGGAATGCAATGTAATGGTGATTATATGATGTTTGCTTGGTATGACTTTAAGAAAATATAATTTTTTATATTTGATAAAGTATAATTTGATGTTAAAAGACAATAATATCCTTAGGCAAATAAGGAAATTCCAATACTATTATTTTTTTTCATTTCCCAAATAGAGTTAGGAATAAGAGCTAGGCCCGGAGGCTTGGTTTAAATAAAGGTTTGGGCTTGAAAAATTGGGAATTTTTAGGGTAACCTTGCTTTTGGCCCCAACCCTAATAAGCATTGAAAAAAAGAGCTCAAGCCTAGGTGGCCTTCCAAATCTTGTTCTATTTTTTCTCTTCTACTTTGGAACATACTATTTGGAAAATGAAAAAAAAAAAACCTTAAGTATTTGATTATTCTAAGTTCTCTAGCTCTCTTTGTCTCTAGACTCAACCTCTTCCTCTCGCCCTCTCCTTTCCTCTAGTTTTCTCACCTCTCCCTCTTGTCTGCTTACCCTCTAGATCTCTCCGTCTCTCAATTCACCTCTACCTCTCGTCCCTAGATTTTGCATCTCTTGACTCGGTGACACCCTCTTGGCATTCTATTGTTTTGTCTTTTAGGCTCTTTTAGTATCAATAATTCCTCTTTTTGCATAGACCTTTTTTTGGGGCCATGGATATACAAGAATTTTAATTTGATGCTCGCTTTTAAGATTTTAATTTAATTTGAAAATTTTGGTTTCTTATTTTATTTTGTGAGGATTATATCAATATACCTTATATATTTTGTTTATAAAACTTTGTTGTGAATTCTAATAGCATCAACTAACATATATTTAGACTTTGAAATCTTTTATTTATTTTTTAAATAATGTGAGACCTTAATTTAGTTTATATTAAATTTTAGAGTTAAATTATAATGTTAAATATTATGATATTGAATAAAATTATTTTCTAAAAAAATAAAATTAATTTATAATATTGATTTTTTTTTTTGTTTGAAACGAGCTTCTGGGCTTAGCCCTGAGCTCTTTTAATAAGGGCCGGGGCCTTAAGATTTGTTCAAAATTTGGAAAATCGGGCTTTCTGGCCTAAGCCTTTAAGGGCTAGGCCTTAAAAGGCTAAGCCCGCCTATTTCCCCATCTCTGCTCCGATATAAAATTTACACAAGCCTACCCTAATACAAATTTTTCATACTGACCCTGTCAACCTCTTCCTCTTCCTCTTCCTTCAAAATGCAGACTTTGGAAAACATAAATAAGAAGCATCAAAGAGGAAGGTGATATATGGCGGTCATCCAATGCAAAGGCTTCCATCAAAAAGCAAGGAAGGAGGATGGAACAAGAAGCATAGAAGAGGAACGAATATAAAACGTAGAAAAGATGGTGCTCAGTGTTCAATCTCATGGTGGTTGGTTGTCCAAGACAAAGGCTTCTGTTGATGAAATCAAAGGCCAGGGACAATATATAGAAGATGGAGGGAGGTTGGCGAGCTTGATGCCGATGATAATGACGGTGTAATGGGATGCCGGCAAATATGATGAAGGAGTGCGATCAGAAGGAGATGGAGGGAGGTGGGTATGAGTGAATGAGGAGGGTACGTATTGTGGTAAAAAGGTGGAGGGATGGAGATTACATAGGTCTAATATAATGTAATCCTCATTACAGCATTTACGGTAATTTCTTTTACATAATGTAATCCTCATTACAATACCTTGCACCAGCCAAACATTTAAGATTGGGGACTGTTTGACCCCATCTCCATCTAGCCATCATCTGCGTGCAATCTTTGGTGCTCACCGTCTCCACTGTCGTGGTCGGACTTCTTGCCTTTATTATATTAGATCAGGCAACTATAGATACTTAAGAGGAAGTTAAACACCAAATACTTTTGTCACAAAAAAAATATGTAAATATTTGATATAAAAGTTAAACTAAATTTTTAAAGGATTTTGAATATAAGAACAGCAAAACCGAAACTTCTTAAAAACAAATTTATAACGAGTAGAAGTTATGAAATTGATTTAGATCAGTTTACAACTATTTCACATATAATTTATTTTTTAGTGAACAAAACAAATGAAATAAAAATAAAAATAAAAATAAAATATATTCAGAACATTATAAAATTATAATGTTATATTGTGATATTTCAGTTATGATATTTTCTTTATTTGCTGTATATATTTTAGATTTTTTTGCCAGATTTTAGATTCTTTCTTATTTTCTTAAATTTTAAAGGTATTCTAGATATTTTATATTTTAGATTCTAAATTTCATATATTATAAATATTTTGACAAGTTTAATTGCTTATTTCGATCAATTTTTGATATATTATAATTATAACACTACATTTAGAAGCAAATAAATTATAATAATTATATTATTTATAATTAACCCTCCTGCTCTCCCACAATCTGGTCCTTGAATATTCCTTCTTTGTCGCAAATGCAGTTTGCAGCTCTTCATCCTTGACCAAACTACACGCGACCACATGCAGATGTAGATCCAGATCCGGCGAGCACAGTGAACGCCGACCAAGACGGAACCAACATACGAACGAACAAGAGAATACGCAAGACACCACACACGACCCTGGCACCGTTCTTCGTCGGCACTCGGCTTCTCCCTTTTCTTCCCTTCTACATCTGAACGACCCTTCTCCCTTCACCCCGCCATTCTGCTTCAGATTGCCTGAAGAAACAGAAACTTCCGATAGCACAGAGACAAGATTATCCCAGATCGCCTGAAGATGTTGGACCTGTAACTCAGGCCTTAGGGTTGTCCAACACTCCGGTAGCGCCTCAAACCTTGCGTCTGTGTGTATATAAATCTGATAGACTTCCTGAATATGTATGGGTGTATTATGCTTGGTCACTTCTATTTTGGGATGTTATATATAATAACTTGCAACGCTTGAAGAGCATATATGTGTGATCATCGTTCCACTGCAAAATAATTTATTAAGAAATAAATTATTTATATCGACTTTCGAATTAAATAATTTTTCCTCCTTCAAATCACTTCTTAGATTACACAAGGAAAAGCTTCTTCCATTGTTGCAAAACTCTCCTTTATGGTCTCCCCAGGTCCAGTCAAGACTCATAGATTTGTGTAACTCCCTCGGTGATCGATCATTATCGAGTCTTGTAAGACTTGTGCATGTTACAAATTGGTCATTTAAGCTTCTCATTATTAGTCTGAACTTTGCTTGGATAATTTCAATTGTGACTGTTTATGGTGTTTTGAATGGAATTTACAAGTGAAAAATATTTGCTTCATTTTTGGACAAGCTAGCTGTTTGTGTATGTTTTAGGAGATTCATCAGCTTTTAAGAGAAACTATCTGCTGATTTTTCCCAAAACATAATGGTTAATATCATATTTTAGTTTTGACGAGATAAACATAAATAGTATTTGGAGTGAGGAAACTTGAACCAAGTTTGTTAATCTGACCTGTATGTTATTAAATTTTTTTTACAAAAAAAAAACAGGCTTATATATATTGGATGAGCCAACTCCAATGGAGAAAGGAACAATGAAAATACCAATAAATGCAGGCACCAAGCAAAAGGAGAAGATAAAAGTTGGGCCATTTTTAGTTTCTCCTCCACCGAATGAACGGGAATTGCAGTTGATACAATTTGTTTTCGACCCTTCATGGTTAGATATAGATATATACTCTTGAAACGATTATATTTTTTTGTGTGTAAGTGAGTTCTTTTTTTAATTTTTTTTTAAGTTTAAACCACTTATTAATACACAAAAGCATTTTTAACATGACATTTATGTCTGCTGGTCGTAGGAATATCAAAAATTGATTGATGATGTTTGGACCAAAATAACGCACTAGGCATAGGGTAAATCCATTAAGGCCCAACTCAGAGGAAACTACATAAGCAAGTCCAATCCATTAATGATGAACTTTGGAAGAGTTAGTGAAATGCCACATTTTGATGAATGGCGGCCAAATCCTAAGGCCATTTACTTACTTCTTGAGAAACTTAGAGTGAGCGCTCTCCTTGCCACTCTCCCTCAACGAGGCATACCCACGATTCTCATTTCAGTGCAAATAGTTATTGCTCCCCTTGGCAGATGAAATTCAAATTCAAAGGAGTATATCATTGCCTTTCTCTATAAAAATCAACAAGGGCATGATTGAAAGTTTCTCTGCAACTCATTCAACACTCCGCTCAAATCAAACTTGTCATAAGCAAACTCAATTAACCTAGCATTATTGCAACATCGCCTTGCTTGAGCTTGAATTTCTAGTATAGACCTTCTAAGCTCATTACTTTGCTTTTCCTTTTGATTATCAGAGCACCTCATTGTAATTACTCTTTAGTACTATACAACTCTATTTTACACACGCACTTCCATACCCTAATCTCTTAATTCACTTTGACACTCCAAGGAAATTATGGTAATAAAGGATAGTTGTTTGATACATTACTCTTTTGAGAATTTACTCCACTAGCATGAATGGAAATTTCAGTTAGGAACAACACTCCACACCTAAAACTCAAACCAATGCCAACATTATTGGTAGGACTTGCTTGCCAAAGCAATACTGAGAAATACCTAATGCAAAGATTTTAGTGACAAAAGTCATATTGGACCTTAGGATTCAGAAAGTGGTTGTTTGAACCAAAATTGAAACATCAGGCCAAGGTGTGATAATTCCCAAAGCTTAAACTAGAAAAGAAGAATACTCGACCTAATAGCAGTCCAGCCTTTCACAAATAAGTGAGATAATGCGTTTTGAGGGAAGGCTTGATAGAGTTGCAGCTACTCTATCAACTCTTTGATATTCTTAGCGCATCCATACCCATTAATTTGCATGATGGAGCTCTCCTTAGGGATCTAAATGTGCAAACAATTAACTGTTCCTACTGGCACCACACTCAAATTTGAAAAGTAGCACGTTGCCATTTTCTATAAAGAGGCAACAAGCGCATAACTCAAGACTCTTGATGCTCTACTAAATTTACACCAAACTTGCCATGTGCAATTACTCAACTATTGACTTCGTGTTGTCTTCAATCTTGCTCTGTATGACTTATCTTCCTTATGTAAACTTAGCATCCTAGGCTAGTTTCCTAGTATTATCTTCTTTATTTTTACAAAGCATCACATTGTACTTACTTTTTCAAGTAATGTTATCGAGCTTCACACTCATTCATGGTGTACCTATTGTTATTCTCATAAGTCACTTGACTCTCTTAGGAAATTATGGTAAAGGATCTTGGGAACCCATTTTGATCATCTGATTTCAACTTATTCTTTTGAGGACACGCTCCTCTACCATGCCTATACTCTCAAACACCTAAAGAGTTATGACACTCTAACTCTGTCACCCAAAATTAGGACAACACAGTTTTTTGGCATGCCCAATCAAACCCTATTGTTAAGGACAATGCTAAGAAACACTCATTCCAAAATTTTGATGATAAAAACCATGCTGGACCTCAAGATTTGGAGTGCAATGCTACAAGAGTAGGTTTTATAGCAAACTATGAATCCTCTAACTACTTAAATCTAGATGAGCCTGTAGCAAACTTTTGTATTGAGCCACTTGACATAAGGAAAACTTTTAACCTATACCTGACGAGCCTGTAGAAGAGCTTTAAGTCATAATATGAGCAAGCCAAGAAGACCTTAAAGGACTTATAGAGGCAATATGACAAGGATAGTCAAAAAAGGGCTCATAAAGTGGCACTGCTCCTCATTCAACAGATAGAGAGAGCTAAAGAGAAAGAAAGGATCTAAACCTCTAAGGCACAAGAGTAGGAGTTCTTTCAATAATAACAGGAAGAATGAGATCAAAGAAGGTATACTGAATTATGCCAGATCATTATGGAAACCATATAAGCACTGAGCAACTAGTTTGCCATGTATATGACAATTCAAGTAGTAACTAAAGAAAATCCTTCGGTGGCACCCCCAACAAGAGCCTTGTGCTCGAGGTTAACCCTTTAGGAAGAAGGAGTTTGTTCAACCTCAGCCAATAACAGAGGAACAATATACTCCAGCTTATTAATGGGGATAGGCAAGGTAGCATGGTTACTCTAACAGGAAGGACAAAGGACCTTCTTAAAGGCACTATTATCCCTATACTAACCCTTCCAATAACTGTAACTTGTATGAATTGGATAACATATAGAACACTGAGGGTCCAAAGGGCAATATGCATGGAGAGAGGATTTGAATAGAAAACCATGCAACTAGAGAACCACCTTTGATGAAGCTTGAAGTTGTTAAGGAAGTAGTGAAAGAGCTATATAAGCCTCGCTTGAAGCCTTTGCCAAGGTTAGAGTTCCATAAATCGTACCCAAAATACATCGACTATAAGAATTCATTCATAAGGGGATTCTATGTCCTAGAGTTCACCATCCTCTTTAGAAAAGATGGCACCTCAACATAATAGCACATAGTGAGGTTCACATTTTAGTGTGGAGAGCTTAACCACTTTAATAATATGAAGTTAAGATTGTTCCACAACTCCCTCATAAGGCTAGCATTCTTATAATATGCTAGGCTACCTTAGAACTCAATATATAAGAGGGAGTTATTCCCTTAGCCTCTAAAAGGGAAGTTTAGACAAAGAGCTATAGAGGAACCAACTTAAATCAGTCCCTTAGGACTAACAACTTTATAAACAATCCACATTAAGTGTCGCTCACCCTTAACATAGGTCAATTCTTGTTACCTTTATGTTATACCATTACTTTAACCTTGCTTGTTGCTTTTTTAGTTAGTCTAAACAAAAAAATCAAAGGATGGTGAATATGCAAGGGAACAGGTAATGGTAGAAGAATGAAGGAGTGATGAGGACGAGAAAGATTGGAATGCCCTTTGTAATGGCCTCTATCATTAACTCTAATTAAAGTCAACAAAACATGATCCTCTTAATTACTAAGGATCAACCATGGCTATATGAGAAATAAATTTTATAAAAACTATTTCTAAATTTGGGATCCAAAGAAATCATTTAAAAATCATAAAAGTAATTTGTTAGAATATTTTCAAGAATCAAAGTATAGATGATAAATGGAAACATTGAAAATGAAAATAGCATAGAGAATAGGATGAAATAGGGATAAAACAATCATTTCAGCACTTCTGTACCTGCCTGTCTTAGCTAAAAGTCCATCTATCGTGACCAATGCTACACGACTCCATCTATTGTGGATTACCAGTTACCTCTACTCTTAGGCTACCACCCTAAGTGTCTAATTTGGATTTCCCAAATGAGCTTCTTTGAATATAAATTCTGTGCACAATCAGTCTACAATAAAGACCTAAAAACAACATTAATGACTGACCGTCACTAATTAACCCTTAATCATCATTAAATCTTAAACCTCCCATTAAGCATGATTAAGCATAATTAGCCTAAAAAATAACTTCCATTAGTTTGTTTAACTCCTATTAAGCTTAATAATCACTGTTAGCTACCCTCATTAACTTAATTATTTAAGATTAGAGTTAACTCTAAACTCTTCATTAATGGAATTCAAAGATGTTGACTACTCATACCCATTGATTAAAGCTATTTAAGATCACCCATAGGCTTCATTGAAGTCATTAAAACATCCCAATTTAGCTATCATTTCGGGTTGCCTCCTCCAAAGCTAGAAAACTCAAAGAATGAATGAGAAGAAGAAAGAAGGAGAGAGTAGGAAACTTACCCAAGGTGTGGATGGCCCTAGACAAGCTGTAAATGACCCCTAAGACAAGCCTTAATAGAGCCCTCTACTTCCTCTCTCTACTGGAACTCCAAAATAAATCTCTAAA